AGAATAAAAAAGTTCAATGAAGTTGTAGGTTACAAAAATCAAGAAACAAAAAGTCAATTGTGTGTTTGCATGCTTCAAACACACTATCTCAGACATAAAATCAGTTCTCTTCACGGTATCAAAACCAACGATACACTTGAAAATAAATTTAACCGACATAATAATCTGTACAATAACACTATAAGACACTGATGAAAAAAATTAAAGAACAGAGAAATAAATGGAGACATATCCCATATCCATGGACTGTGAAAATTAAAAAAATTTTATTGGTTTACTGGAGTGACATTGGTTAATAAACTTATATAGGTTTCAGGTGTACAGTTGTCTAATACATCACCTGTGTATTATATTGTGTGTTCACCACCCAAAGTCAAGTCTCCTTTCATCACTGTTTATCCCTCTTCCACCCCCTTCTAACCACCCCACCCTCCCAGCTGGTTGTTACCACACTGTTGTTTGTGCTGAGATTTTTTTTGGTTTTGTTTAATCCTTTCACCTTTTTCACCCTTCACATTTCTTTTTCATAATACTCTTAAGTTACAGGTCAGTGAATAGTATTATTTCACTTGGAGGCTAATGGATTATCATTATTTTTACAATTTAGAAGACACTAAGTACACACACTTTACTTAATTTTAGAAGAAACACTTTTAGCATTTTGATTTAATTATACAGTTGAGATGGCAAGATTTAAAGGGGAAATCCCATATTTAGTTGCAAATCCTCGTCTGGCATTACATTTGGAATTGGGGGATGGCTAAGTCAGTTTAATACATTTTGGGGTCTTCACATATCTGTAAAAAAAGATGTTAAACAGAAACTCTCTAAAGGAACCTTCCACTTCACACTCCACGGCAGCAATTTTCACCCCTTTTCATTTTACCGCACACTAATTACTAAAATTCTGTGGCACACCAAAACATATATTTTTTGCTGATCTGACCAAAAAAATAGGTATAATTTTAATTCATTCACATTGATTGGCTATTGTTGTGGCTGTTGTCTTTTTTTAACTTGAAAATCTAAGGGGAAGAGGTCAGTGTCCCTAACTAAATTGTCAGGTACTGCACATTTTAAAAATTCTTGCAGCGCACCAGTTGAAACTCAGTACTCTATGGGATAAGCTTCAGTCAACACCAGTGTACTTTGAATATGGAAAAGATGGTTCTTAAATTCTGGGTTTCAGTTCATTTACCCCTCAAGCCCAGGTCCTTCCTGAGCCCTAAGATCTGGAAGCTTTGGGACTGTTACATATTAATTCAACAAGAAAGTCTTCAGATCGAGGTGGCTTTAATACCTTTGTAGTTTAGTCAGCTTGAAATGCTTCAAGATTAAGAAATCAAAGCTAAAAACAACCAATCACAAACAGGCGATTTAGGCTTTCCCAAATAAGGTAACCCTTTAAGCTATGGCCAATTGCTTTGCTTTGCTTCTGCCTCTTCTTTATAAAGTGCCCCCCCCCCCACTCCCCACCCCCCCAGCTCCTGTCCTGCAGGGCTCCTAACCATTTCTGGTTTGGCACTGCCTGATTCCAATCAGTTGTTGCTCAAATAAATTCTTGCCATTTTTACTATGCCTCAGTTTATTTTTAGCAGGATGAAGACAAATTTCACAGACTTGCTCTTCAGTGCATTTTTTTTCCTGAATAATTTCTATTTTAACAGAAAAGTTGGGTATTTCTTTGCCCCACACCTCACAATTCCCCAAATCCCGACTGTTCAGCTTTTATCTTCCTGGCTGCTTTTCCCTTTCCACTTAGTGTTGTTTTGCTGATTATGTGCGTTATGCCCTTTTATGCCCAACTAAAAATATGCAAAACTGGGAGATATATATTTGTCTTGGAGGTATAAATTGGCAAAATCTTTCTGGAAAGCCAACTGGCAATACATAACAAAGTCTTAAAAAGTGTGTATTTACTTTGAAGGCTCATTTTTACTTCTAAGCAACCAACCTAAGGGAGGAACCAGGTAAGAGTACAAAGATGAATGCATGAATGTTAAAGGGTGTGCAGACTGGAGTTTGTAATATAAATAATTGTCAATTAAAACACCTAACTTCAGGGGAGTTAGGTGGTTTCCTATAGTACTTATAACTTGGCAAATGATTTATCTTCAACTTTTTAGAAATTAACTTCTAATTGTTTTCTGCAAGAGTATAAATTATTGATACTTAAAAGTAAATATGAGGGGGACTCAAAAACAGAAATTTATTTATATAAAATTGCGTATCTATTACAAGTTTAAACTTCGGCCACCTTCAAAGTACTCTCCATTTGATGTAATACACCTATCAAGAATTTTTCCCACTGCTCAAAACAGTTTTTGAACCCTGGCTGGTGTGGCTCAGCGAGTTGAGTCCCCAGTTTGATTCTCAATCAGGGCACATGCCTGGGTTGCGGGCCAGGTCCCTAGTAGAGGTGTGCGTGAGAAGCAACCACACACTGATGTTTCTCTTTCTTCCTTGCCTTCCCCTCTCTCTAAAAATAAATTAAATTGTAAAAAACCAGGTTTTGACCTTGTTGATATTGATGCCTTTTAGTGCTTCTGCCATTTTTTGTTTCACCTCTTGCACATTGGCAAAATGTTTCCTCATGAGAAACAAAAATAAAGTCGCTTAGGACAATGCTGGATGAATAGGGAGGGAGGGTGGGGCACAGGAGTCATGTCCGTCTTTGGTCAGAAACTGCTGAACACTCAGTGTGGTGCGGGCAGGTGCGCTCATAAATCACCCATCATGAAATGGGCAAATGCACGGAAAGAGCCTTGCAAAAAACAATTCACAGAGGCTGAATGCAGCCTCTCACAACAACGCCAGCTAGTCCACTGATACAGGTGGTTCCTAGAACACTCACTGAGTGGGGGAAGCCTGTATTACGAGGGGCCTGCCCTCCAGAAGATAATTCTGTTTTGGGGGGGGGTGTCCTCCATCATATACTGCTGGCTAATATGTTTTATTTTTAAAAATTTATTTATTTAATTATTTTTCAATTACAGTACTAATATGTTAATTTACTTACTTCTTTTGCACATGTACCCATGACTCAGAATCACTAATACTTTAGTTTATTCTGAAAAATCATCAACCCATGAAATTACTTACTTAGCTACTACAATTGTTACTGAAATGTGGGTTAAGACTAGACATGTTCTCCCAAAATAGATTCCGACAAAAAAAAAAACCACCTTACCGAGATAAAATAATTACAAGTGACAGAAATACTATTTTTATCATTGTTTCTGAAGTTCATAAATGACAAATATGTTCTCTGAATATCCAAACAGTTGCTTCGTATTTTAATTTATGAAGAGCCAGAGAAACAAGTACTACGGCAAACACTTTTAATAAGAATACAAAATTCACACCAGAGGCACATTCTGGGGAATGTTAAGTGAACTGTCACAAGTAGTAATTCTGCTGGAAGAATAAAATAAGGCTCTCTGAGAGTACAAATATACAGGAGGGAATGATTTAAAATAGGTTTATGATTTACAATCACATTACATTTGTATTAAGCACTGAAAACAGGCATATTATTAAAAAAGCCAGCTAAAGGCATTTGAACATATATAACAAATCTTACAGTCCACAAAGTTCATGTATAACAGTAATTTTAAGTACTTCATTTCAACACAAAAGAAATGAACAGGTGAAGAAATACCTCTCAAAGTTTTAATTTATGCCTATGACAAAAATCAAGAGAACTTATCTTTAAAAAGGATTACATTACTGACTGGACCACACAGTGGACACGCCAACCACATGACACGGAACCAACAGCGCTGAGCAAGGACACCGGCTGGCCTTTCCAGTCCCCTCTTGTCACCACCACACGGCCCACGCTGCCTGTCCGTCACGCGAATGAACAAAATTCCCCGTCTTCCCATCTCATGAGAGGAATGAAGAAAAACCAAACAGTATATTCACAAGCTGATATCCCCTTAAACCGTATATGTGGTTTAGCAAATACAAAGAAACCCAACGCGTATACACAGTGCTCCTTTCCAAGAAGGAGGAGACAGGTCAAACATTATCTGAAAGGGTTTCCTTACGGATTATGTACACTGGTTGCATGAGAATTACGGCATATGAGAAGGCACGTATCTGTGATTTAAGGCTTAACCGGTATTGTTACATATGGAAGTCAGTGAAATCTGTCTAGGGATTCACATCTGTCAAAATGAATTTTACCCCCAAACTAGCTTTCTGAGCACAGATTTCTACTCTAGAAATCATCAAGAATTTCTATTTCCAAGTCCACCTGTCAAAAAAATTCTCTTAAGCAGGTTTCATTATGAATCAAAAAACTGCTAACATAACCACCCTATGACTTTGGATGGTGCACATTCATAAGCTCAAAAGCCTCACAGAAATGACAGTGTGATTCCTGCGTCTTAAAAAAAAAAAAACAACCTCTGAACAAAATTACAAAGGTACGGATTAATTTTTAAAAAGGTATTTGCCAAAACTCCACAAGCCAATCAGTCAGTCATTAGAGTGGCTACCTGTGTGTGGATGATGCAGGAACACCAAATAATTTTACTCTGCAAAATAGTTTCTTTTTTTCTTTAATACATGAAAACGACTCTCTTAAAGATGTTTAATACATTCTTATATAAAATATCTGATGTTGATACAAATCATGTAAACCTCCCTTTGGAAAAATTACAACTGGCCCCCATTCCCAGGACCAAAAACATTGAATTTTTATCTGGTCAGTGCAAATCTATATTAGATGTTTTCAAACTACAGAAATAGCCATCAACCCTTACAATACAAAAGGACTTCTCAAAAAGGAAAATTACTGTGTTCAGATTATAGAAATTATGTTTACATTAAAGCCACCGCCTTCCCATCAAATTTAACAGTTCAATTGTGAAAAGTAGGAAAAAGGGAAAAATTAAAGCTGTTTGTGTGAGAATCTCTACAACAGATGTTGCCCCATTTCTCTTCTCCCAACTCTGCTTAATTAGGCTTGTTTAGAAATACACCAATGTGACTTTCTTTTTTTTTTTTTTTCCATGAGTGATTTTACTGTTCTTCAAGCCAAGACGGGGCATCCACTCCAGGCGTTTTCAATTTGATATGGAACTGTTTAAGGGTCTGTTCGAGCTGTTTCTGATTCCCAGCAAAGTACGCGGCAATGGCGTTGTGGAAAAGGACCAGCTGGTTGTGCAACACTTTGACCTGCGAATGGGGCAGAACACAAGACCGAGCGTTAGCACCAGTGCCAATGAAACAGAAGGTGAGCTATCACAGGTCTCAAACAGCGTCTCTCTCCTCAGGAAAAGCTGTTTTAATAACGCAAGGTAGTTCACACACAGCAACTGTACAGTATTTTGCAAGGTCACCGAGCCTTCAATCTTCAATGACTTCCAATTTCCCTGAAAGGGACAGGTCAGTTTTAGATGCTAAGTGTGCACAGGCATACCCTGTTTTATTGTGGTCAGCTCGACTGCACTTCATGGACGCTGGGCTTCCTACAGGCCGAAAGCAACACCCTCCACCTGCTTTACTGTGTGGGCTGCAACCGCACCCGCATCACCCCTGAGGCACGCCCGCACTCTGTGAACCGTTTTCAAGCATGACTGAGGGCATTAATTAAAAATGTCATTAAATGCCCTGCCAAACTGAGAATATTTAAAACCAAATATTGAAGCGGAAACATTACATGTAAGTAACTATGTGATCTGTGCCCTACACCAAGTATGGGCATCATCAAGGCTAAACTTCATGTAAAACTGGACAACCCAGACATTTTAAACACCAGGGTCTCTGCAAAGAATCGAGCGAGTGGCAGGAAGTGCTGCCAGAAAGCCAGTTTATTTAAGGCTTACATGTCTCTCAGTTATTTTCAAACACATATTACTCGTAATGGTATCAGAAGTATGTTTTAACCAAGTAACACTACCTCTACAAACTTTCTTTTTTTTTTTAAATCTTTTTTTATTTTTTTTTAATTTTTAAAGAATTTTATTTATTTACCTTTAGAGGGGAAGGGAAGGAGAGAGGGAGAGAAATATCAATGTATGGTTGCTTCTGGTGCACCCCTTGCTGGGAACTGGCCCCTGCTGGGAACTGGCCTGCAACCCACAAATGTGCCCTGACTGGGAATCGAACCGCGATCGTCTGGTTCGCAGGTCCGCACTCAATCCACTGAGCTACACCAGCCAGGGCTTCAAACTTTCTTCAAGAAATCATCAAAGCATCACAAAAATTTCTAAATAAAGTTTTTTTTCCCCTGGGGTCTTATTTATAACTGCAAAATGTTCAAGAGTAGAAAGTGTAAAACACACTCTGATTTACCTATCCAATGAAATATTCATTAAAACTGAGCTTTAATAATTTTGAATGATGTAAAAATGCCTGATATATGATGCTAAGTCAAAAAATAGACATAACATTTTATATACATGACACCTGTATTTACTATATAGTACACATAAATATGCAGTCTCTTCAGCCATTTCTTCATCCATCTACCTCTATAAAGAAAACAAAAAACATACTTATACTGGATAGTTCTGATTTGCCAAGTCTTTATTTTTTAAATTAAAAAAATAACATGTATAAAACATCATGTGAATAATTAAAAAATAACATGTATAAAATAACATGTGAAACACTTTGTGTCAAGCACTAAGATATGAGAATTCCAGGATAACGAAGGCACACGACAGCAGAAAATGATAATTAACATGATTCACAGGCAGCAGAAATACACTGGCTTAACTTAAACAAGAAAAGTAGAAGGAATAACGCAGGCACGCGTGGCGAGGCCGGGCTCCTCCAGACGGTCGGAGAGCATTTCAAGGGAAGGTGGGCCTCAACCCAGGGATACTTACTAAGGAAGCGGGATAATCAGAGGAAAAGCGGGTTTCTAGGTGGCAATTTAGAAGACGAGTCGAGTGTTCTATTATAGTGGACGGTTGCAATAGTGGGCCCAGGACACCAGACGGAGATGTGACACCTAACCTAAGTACAGTGTCGGGTCTCCCAGGATGGAACCCTAAGCTGATCAGTCTGGAATTTCCAGACCCACACTAGGGAGGTGATCTGCCTGGTGAGACCCCCTGCCTTTCCCTAAGGGTAACTGTCTCGCCCGAAATAGTCCACTCTTAACTTCTCAGTCCCAAACTCTTTCTGCCTACAAAACCCTTCCATTTTGTACACCACACTGGGATGCCCTTCTGTTGCTAGATAGGATGCTGCCTGGTTCAGGAACTGCTTAGTCAGGCCCATTAGATCTCTAAATACAATCAGTTAATTTTGTTTCTTTACAAAGCAAAAGTTAGGTTAGCCATGCAATGTTAGGAAATACGGACTGATAAGCAAGCGTGTGCCCTCCTCGGCTACTGCCCCCACCTTGGGAGGAAGCCCAGCCTGGCCTCCCCAGCTGTGCCCAGCACCAGGAAGCACCCACCCACCCAGCCCACGCAGCTGTGGCAGATGGTCAGCTACTGTTGTTCTAGGCCACTGAGCTTTGGGGTTTCAATTATGAGGCAAAAGGTAAATGGTACATCTATGAAAAAGGTTAAGAATGCAGTTTCCTAGTAACAAAGAAGGTTTTAGATAACACAGTGACAAGGAGGAAAATCAAGGTGGAATGCAGGCCTGGAAAGGAAAAAGGCTGAGTTGGGTGATAAAGTAAATGAGTAAAAAAAAAACCAGGTACCTGGAGAAGGTAGAAGCTGGGGTGGCTGTGATCCGCAAGAAAATTTAAGAGAGAAAGGTGCTGAGGACAGAGATTGAAACAAGAGAGGCAAAGCTGCCACCGGCCAGCCCCCAGGTCTACCTGCAGTGCTGGAGTGAGTGTAACAGCATCTTCAAAAACTTTCACTTCCCACGCCCTTGGAAGGCCTGCATGAGGCACAGACTGAAACTGGTCACAGCCTCCCCACGTCTGTACTTGTTACTCAGCCAGGTCATCAGGAAGATGCCCCCCTTTGCAGCGCTCTTCCTTTACGGAAAGGACCAGAAAGAGCCGCGGAATTTGGAGGCGTGTGTGTGTGCCAGTCTTGGTGGTACCACTTTCTCGTGGCTTCGTGATGCCAGGCACAGTTACGTCTCACCTCACTGGCCAAGGTCTTCATCCGAGTATCACGGATGCATTACTGCCTGAGTGTGCAGTGCTGCTGTAGGGGCGAAAGGAAATGAGATCCGACCCAGCACACTGTCTGACACAGAACGGCACCCCTTCCATTTCGGTGGAATCTAAGTTTACCTATCTGACACTCAAATCTTTAAACACTGACTTTTCTCAGTAAAATAAAATTTCATTTATTTGGAATCCACAGATTTGAAATCTGTGAGAAGACTGTAATGTTGTGATTTATAGTAAGGAAAATAGACTTGATCTCCGTACTCGTTCTTGAAATCTAGCTCCTAAAATCCCTGTAATTTCTAAATGATAAGTGGATGGGAACATCTTTTATTATAATACTTGGTCTCTTGCCCTATTTCTCAAACAACTCCAGAGCCATAAAGGTGAAAGTATTTTTGTTATTCATAAAAAGCCCTTTCAACCATACCCCACTTTAAGTTAATGAGATTTTTGGAAAGCCCCTGGATAACCACAGGATGGGGGTTGGTTGCCAAGGGAACTAAATTGTGATTAAGAGACAGGAATGTTCACCTCCACTGCCCAAACCTCTGGGGAGGCGAGAGGCGCTACAGGCTGAACTAATTCCCAGTGGACAAAGACTTAATCCATCATGCCTATGGAATGAAGACTCCATAAAAATCCCCGAAGGCCAGGGTCTAGAGAGCTTCTAGGCTGGAGACACAGCACCTGCAGGGAGGGTGGTGTGCCCCAATGCCGGGGGGCAGCAGCTCTGGTGCTCAGCACTCCTCCAGACCTGGCCTCGAGCACCTCTCCATCTGGCTGTTCACTTTCATCCTTCACTATGTGTAATAGCCTGGTAATCTGCTGAGGAAACTGTTTTCCTGAGTTCTGTGGGCCACTCTAGCATGTGACTGAATCTGAGGAGGGGATTGTGGGACCTCTGATTTACAGCCAGTTGGCCAGGAGAACGAGTGACAACCTGGTCTTTTGGTTGGGTCTGCGGTGGTGACGGTGGTGCGGGTCCGCAGTGTCAGAGCTGAACAGAACTGCAGGACACCAGGCATCCAGAGAACCAGACCGGTCAGTGTGGGAAAACACCCACACATGTAATGTCAGAAGTGTCTGAGAAGGGTGGTAGGGAAGAGAAGAAGAAATACAGAGCCATTTCCTTTTCAAAGACAGAAACTGCGCAAAGGTGAAGTTCACCTAGCATGATAAAAAAGGGACAGATGCAGAAGAGGGGAAAGGTGGATCTTTCCAGCACAGCACGGAAACGCTGAAGGGAGCTGTACTTCTGAGGCTGAACGGAGTTCAGGGCAGCAGTCTGGGCTGGACATGCACACTGAGGTCAGTACACACGCAGATGCTGTTTGGACGCACATGGTTAGATGAGTCCTCAACACAGTGGACAGACGGGAAAGAGGTCAAGGGCTGAGTCATGAAAAGTAAACCTTGATCCTTTCACCTCACATTCCAGAGTTTAGCTTGAAATGGATCAAAGGCCTACATATCAAAGCTAGAAGCTATACAGGTTCTAGAGAAACACCTACAAGAAAAATCTTAATGACCTTGGGTTTGGCAAAGATTTTTTTTATATAGCACACACAAACCTTAAATTGTAAAAAGAAAAACATTAATAAATTGGATTTTATAAAAATTAAAACATTTTTCTCTCCAAAAGACACATAAAAATGAAAGGGGAAGCCACACACTGGGAGACAATATTTGCAAAATATGTATTGGACAAAGAACCTGATGCTGTAATATGTAAAGAATTCTTGCTCTGGTGTGGCTCATTGGGTTGAGTGCCAGCCTGTGAACCAAAGGGTCGCTGGTTCAATTCCCAGTCAGGGCACACATCTGGATTGTAGGCCAGGTCCCCAGTGGGAGGATGTGCAAGAGGCAACCACACACTGATGTTTCCCTTCCTCTCCTTTTCCCTCCCTTTCCCCCTCTCTAAAAATAAATTAAATCTTTAAAAAAATAAAATTACTTCAAAAAAAGAATTCTTAAAATTGAATAAGAAGATGGAAAAGAATAAAATGGGGAAAAGATCTGAGCAGGCACTTCACCAAAGAAAATATACGATGTCAAACAAGAGCACGGAAACACAGACACTTGA